ATCAACCAGTTTGTCATCATTTACAAAATATCTCACATACTATGCCTTTGCGTGTTAACTGCTTGAAAACCGCCAAAGGATCATCTCCGAAATACTAATCTTGATGATTTTCTATTCGATATATGTTATTCTTGGTAAATATAACCATTTTACAGTGACATCATTTGATTCTTACGAGATATGTGATGAAAGATGAAAAACGTTGCTGATTGTAATGAATTCTAATACTTTGGCCAATACTGTATATATAGCCCTGCTGAGACAGGGTGAAATACCGACATAACCGCTCAAGAAGTGGAAATCAGCGGCTACTCGTGCTTCTGCTGTGATAGACCATCAAATGATTGCGGTGGGTTTCTGTTCTACATAAAGTCTTCCTTGTGTGGGAGACTAGTGAGCGCCTACCGAAACGCTGATGGTCCATGTGAGCAGTTATGGTGTTCCATTCACCTCAGACGCTGCGAGTAGCTAATGGGCGTGGTATATCGCAGTCCACTGAGTCGCTGTTTGGACTGGTTGTCGCATGTCCGCAACCACATGTGTCGTCAGATGTTCCTACTCATGGGCGATTTCAACTTGCCCCGAATACAGTGGCCTGAGGCTAAACTTCTCCCCAGCCATTGTGAAGTCGAGAGGAATTTTACGGTGTTGATATTTGAAACCGGGGCCACACAGCACATCAACCAACCGACGCACATAACTGCGCCCGCGACTCCATCGTGCTTAGAACTGCTTTTGACCAGCAGTGAGCAACATGCACATGACATTCAAGTCTTGGAGCCCCTGGGAGCGAGTAACCACTCGATGATCATAGCTAGTTTGGAACTGTCGCTGCCGTATTCTCCCCCGCTGGAGCCAGCGTTCAGCTACTGGAAGGCGGACTTTAATGGCCTCACTCGAGCAGCAAGCGAGATGGACTGGTTTTACCCAGAGGATTCGTCTATTGAAACCTGTTGGACTATCATTAAATAAGGGAGTGAAACCGTTGTGCGCCCGATTTGTACCTCTCAAGTATCGGGAAGTCGGGCAAGTCAAACCACAATGGTTGGACAAGGAGTACAGTAAACTGGCCCGACGACGACGCAGACTATGGAACAAATTCGTGTTATCTGGTTCTGATGAGAACGAGATGGCGTACAAGGTACAGCGAAATCCCTGCAAGAAAACAAAAAAGCGCAGAAACTTCGAAGAGCGGTTTGCAACCGCTGCAAAAACTGCTCCCAAGAGGATCTATGCTTACGTGAAGCGGCGCCTGAGGCCTGCAGACAATATGAGTGTTGGAAGGCTCAGATGGACAGCCCGTACCCTCGAGTACAGATCGTGCGTCCTCATTGGCGGCGCACTTCGCCTCCGTAGTTTCTAAGTGACTAAGTATCTGTAACGAGTTCGACGAGTACCGCTCCCACTGAACTAGACAACCTGGATTGTAGAATTGAAGATGTAGCAAACTACTGGCAAGTCTTGATGGGACGAAGGCTACCGGGCCAGATGGAATCCACCCACTGATCCTCAAGTACCTATCAGCCATCATTTCATCTTCTGTAACTGAGCTGTTCAATAAGTCACTATCCACTAGATTATTACCGGGCGACTGGAAATGCTGTCCTAAAGCCAATACAGAAAGGTGGTAATCCAAGCAAAGTAGATAAGTACCGGCCGATCTGTCTGACCGCTGTTTTGGCAAAGACGCTCGAGAAGATCGTGAGGAAGAGTCTTCTGAAGCTTCTCAAGTCGAAAAGCCTCTTGACGCCCGCACAGCATGGTTTCTTGAAAGGTCGCTCGTGCATCACCAACCTACTGTTGACGAGGCACGGATGGTTACAAGCGCTGAACCAAGGCAAGTCGGTCGACGTCATTTACATTGACTTCAGTAAGGCTTTTGACAAGGTGAATCATGCAGTGCTCCTCAACAGGCTGACGGAGTGCGGCTCATTGCATCGATGGATCAAGAATCTCCTTGTTGATGGAAAGTGGAGGGTCCAGGTGGACAACCAGTTGACCGACAGTGGCGTGCCCCAAGGCACTGTACTGGGGCTGATTTTGTTTCTGATCCATGTAAACGATGTGCCTCAGGTACTCCAATCACCTTGAGCGCTGTTCGCAGATGACTTGTAGGTGTGGAGAGTCATCCGCACATCCAATGATGGTGATCTGCTTCAGCAAGACATCGACCGCCTCTCCACCTGGTCTGCAGAGGTCAACGTTCCGATCAACCCGGTCAAGTCGCAATTCATGAGGCTGAGTAAGTGTGAACACAGTCGAACCTACACGGTGGCCGGTCAACCGTTGCATCCAGTGCCTTTCGTGCGAGACCCCGGTGTACTCTCACGCTACGACCTAAAGTCCATGGACATCACGAATAGGCTTTACCAAAACAGCCTTCGGATGCTTTGGGCGCTCAGGCGCAGCTTCAGCACTTGGTCCGAAGAGAATGCCACTCGCTTCTTCGTCTCTATACTACGACCAATGCTAGAACATGGCTCTCCCGCGTATTGTCCTATCACCTGGGGCGAGGTAGAAAAGATTGAGCGAGTGCAGCATGTAGCCACCAGGCTGATTCCTAACTTACGAGGTGTACCGTACGAAGACCGGTGTAAGAAACTAGGGCTTATCGTCGACTGAGGGTTGACGTCACTATGACGCACCGGATGTTACATGTGGGAGATTATCCCATGTTGAGGCTGTTGCTTCAGCTACGCACACCAAGAAGCATAGGAGGACAATGGTACAAGCTGGTCGTACCGAATTTAAAGCGGGTCGATCACCAACTGTTTCGAACGCAGATTGGTGAATGTATGGAACGACCTGCCGCAGCACGTAGTTGAGGCGAAATCTGTGTCGGAAGTTAAGAAATTCCTGGATAAACACTTTGCCGACATAAAACATATCGAGCGCACCACAACAGAAGGGGTCTGTCTTTGAGTGACATTAGATGCAGTTACACAGAGAAACCTCTACTTGCTGCTTGCAACCAGTAACCATTATATATATATATATGTATATATATATATATATATATATATATATATGACCTGACCAATAAACAATGGTTTTCCTCCTCGAAATATTCCGCAAGACATACGAAGTCAAGCCGTAGAGTCTCATTGATAATGCGACCCAATGGGTTGCTTGTAAATATCCGTCGATCACAAGTTCCTTATTGCGGAACACAATATTAATTATAGACGGACTGTTCACTGTTCGAAATCTGGTGGATGATTTGATGCTACTGTAGGAAGAGTAACTAGAAATAGACTCTAGGAAGCAGACCTTAAACTGCGCGCCGTCAGTTGTTAGCACTTCCAGGTTGTGCAAATTAAAGTCTTGAGAAACTAGAATGTGGCTGTATAACTTGTTCAGCGCGACGTACAAGACGCGGTTCAGTTTGTAGCGCATTTACGACGTTCAGTTTAGTGGGCAATAAATTATGGCTACTAGACGTGCCCTCGCTATGTAGCTATAGTCGACATAGAAGCGAATCAAGTGAAGTTCATGGCGAGCAATCAGTCTGTTCTGTAATAATAAGTACTTCCCATACTCCCAAATTTATCGTTCTGAAGCGGTGACATGCTGCGTAAATTATCGCAAAAGCAGTTACCTCAAGACCTAAGCATATTTCTGGAAGCACGATAAAATCTCACGGTTGTGAGGTCTGACGCTTACTAAGGAGGCCTTTGGCCCCAGTATACAGGATGGACAGCGTCTTAAATTTCGGAAATGCGTCGGAGGATGTCAAATTCAAGCATAAATTCTTCGTTGGTGAAATCGAGTACCGACGACCTGCTTGTCGTCCGAAATCTGATAAAAATGGAATGCTACTGTATGGAGGGTAACTAGAAGTTAACTGCTGCAACTAGAGTTAAAAATGCATCGTAGGGAGTGGGTATTTTCCAACTCGTACACATTGAAGTCACTCGCGATGAGAATGTGACTGTACATCTGGTTCAACGCAACCAACTTGTAGTCCACGGGAATGTGAACATCATGAGGTGTGATCACCGAAGCGCTGCCTAAATGAGTAAGGAACCGGTTGGCACAATCAAGAGACTAGGAGAAGTGAAACGGATAGGCGTATGAGGAGAAAGAGTAAAACAGGTGGATTAAGCAAAAGGGTAGATGAATGTAGGGTAATTGAGGTGCCGGAGTAAATTTCGTGTACATATCAGATGTGATGCGTGCAACATGGAGCTTCGAGACAAATAATGTTATTAAGGCACCAGAAAGGCTCTGTCGTGTAAAGCACCAGGGGCAGCAAGATTTTCTCCATGTGGACTAATAGACCAGGGATCAGTGCTAGCTAAAAAAACTGGCGCAAACGGACAGAGGGTGGGGAAATTCTCAAAGCTGTTGTGGAGCGAGAGGGTTGTCTTGCTCTCCGAGCTGGGCATTTCTGTTGTAGAAGTTTCGTTAACAAGCTAGGCAACGACTTCAGTGCGGCTATTGAGCCTTGATTTGCGGAGTCTCGTAAAGCACTGCCAGATCCAGAACACATTATGTCCGTATTTGCACAAGCGTTCGTAGTGGTAATTACCAGTGCGCAATTTTAGCAAGGAAAGCGCGAGAGAAAGCAAACCAAGTATTTTCATCAGATCCCTAATGTAAAAGGTGCTATAATAATGCCGTTCACTGGAATAAGATATAAGACTAGATGGAATAAGTGATGGGCTTCCAAGCGCACGTATCGTCGATGAAAGTAATCTGCACTGTGGTATGAGGAGCAAATGCGATTAAGGAGAAGAATCTATCCATGTGATTCCATTACTGACAGTCTAATCGGACTATCGAAGGGATCTCACATAAAGTAGTAATCGGCTTCACTTATTTCCGCTGTAGAATTAGGAGGAATTAGAAGCCGATGCTGCACAGTTCTTGCTGCTTGGGGAACGCAAATATTGCCTTAAAGGTTGTTCTAAGACCGCCTTAGAATAGCGGCTTACGTCAAACCCCAACAAGGTCGAGAAAATTGATGCCGCACCGAGAGACATAACGGAGAAGCGATGTCAGAGAGTCAATGGTCTATCAAAATGTCGTCAAGCACACAAACCAATCTGGCAAGAAAGCGTCGGGGAAACACATAGAAAAAGAAGAGACATGAAAAAGCAGTATGCTGGATGCAAAGTGTGAACAAGACGGATAAAAATAAGCAGGTGTGCAGAAATGGGAAACCATATCATCAAAAAGTGTGCCGAGGAATCCAAATGAGAGGCAAAGATGATGAATTAATCACGGAGAAACAAGAATCACCGATTCATCATTGTTCAGATTGAAAATGATATACCTAGAACAAAATGTGTTTGTCACTCTGGGGAGAATCGGTTAGAAAAATGGATAAGTGTATGTACATAATCATGACCACGTTGTCGAAAAAGGTACAAAGGCATAAAAATAAGGGATAGTACATTGAGCGGTACATTAGAAATAATGAGGATTCGTAATCCTTCTGCCGGATGTGATATTGAGACTCAACATTGGAGAGAGCCGCAAAAGAGCAAGCCAATGTATTGGTCATATCTACAAGGTCAAGAAAGACAAACTAAATGAGAGGGTGACGAATGACGCAACAGACATGTAAGCTAAGAAAATGGACACCACACAAAGATGTAAAATCAAAGAAGTTGGGTGCAAACAAGTGGAGGGACACACACATGTACACGGACACCACATTCGAAACACCCAACCAACACGGTGACTGCGAGAAGACTAACTTGATACGGTGAACATGATGAGGGGCTGCATTCCAGTTAAACAACCGGTACGTCCGGAGCGCCAAGATTGCCAGTGAAGCCGAGTAAGCAGCTGGCCTCGGAGGCCTTGGAAGAGAGCAATCAGATGGTGCATGAATGTGGGTGAATTGGCTTACCTTCATCGTGCATAGGTGTAACGAAGGTATATATATATATATATATATATATATATATATATATATATATATATATATATATATATATATATATAAAGTAGTAAATAATGTAAGCGGGGGTAGTGAGAATGCGTGTGAGGCAGCGAAACAGTTTAGATTAGTGAAGCGAAAACGGAAGAGTTGAGTAAAGATAGCATGCTCATGCCACCTTCTGTTAATAGTCCCGAGAATAAACCATAAAACGGTTAGTGGGAGTACCATCACTGTACATGACCAATGACAGAAAGGTGAGCGAGTGGGCCGAGCCCGCCTCTGAATAGCAATGGGGTGGAATGCGTATTTGTTACACACTAATGCCCAAAGATAAGTATTAAGTGCCTCGGACTGAAAACAGTAATAATGAAATGGCAGCACGAAAAATGACGTGCGAAATTTGTAGGATGGTAAACACTCCATTCCCCTTCGGGCTGGGTGAGGACACATTTCTTCAAACTACCCGACAGAATGCGCAAAAATGACGCGACTAGACGCATTATGCACCCTGGCTCATCATCGTTTGATTCATGTTGCGTGAAAACGTTTGGTAGGACGAGGAACAGCTATCCGCCGTGAAGAGAGAACCAAGACCAAACAAACTGTCTGTTGGCGCCTTGATTTCTGTGCATTAAAGCGGCTCAACTCGTGCGCACATGCTAAACGCTTGTTGTGAACGCTCTCACGCAGGACTGCAGTCTACTAAAGATCGTTCAGTCAGAGAGGTGAGTTCGACACGGCGCAGGTACGCCAATACAACGCTGTTTTCCCCAGAACTGTCCATAGGTCAAGTAGGCCTGTTGACGTTTAACTGTATCGTTGTGAGTTGGTTAGTTAGCAATTGATAACAGCACTCAAACGACCTAAATGAGATAGCTGGCAGCATACTAGCGACTGAGTGTCCGCTGCTTCGAAAAGAGTACGAGAACGTCCAGTTGGTGAGTCAACGCTGCCAACGGGTTGCGAGGCAGGGGAGTAGAAGGTGGCGTTCGTTATGAAATGATCCTCGTAAGCATGGCTGGATATAGTAATGGGACGGACGAGACATATGTGAGAGGTTTGAGTTGTCCCAGAAACTGTACAAATGACGTGATTGTTTGTCTAAGCGGAAACGTTGTGCATAGGCTGAAAAATGTCTGTTTATGAGTGCATAATAGGAGGTTGATTCGGCTCGTCACAAAAGTTTGGTAAAACAGAGAGAAAGCATGAACTAGTGAGAAAGACAAAATGGAGCTAATCCAACGACGTAAATTCATCAAGTCCGCTAGATAAGCCGACGACAAACACCCAGATGGTAGAATGTGCGCATTGGAATGATGAAAGTCCCCACGCGTAAAGAAAAAGTAGGCAGTCCGCCGTGACATTCCGTTAAATAACAGTTCGGCGATTGTCACTGAACGCATCTGTTTGATGCCAGCATAGGAACGTAGTGGATTCTACACCCATCATAACTAGAGTGTGGCAAAAGGGACACGTGTGAAGAAAAAAAGAAACAGGAATTTAGTTCATAAGGTGAGCAACGAGGCCATCCGAAACATATGGGGAGCTGTTATAACAGCCTCGGTTAACGGAGCAGGTCCGCCACCACAACTCACGGTGCTCCATCGATGTTTTGAGACCTGCTCCAAGCAGTCGCAGTCCCGTTAAACGAATCGCAGAGGAACAGAACGACATAAAACATGCCGGCAGTGAAACCTATTCGACCCAAACATAAGATAGTTCAACGGCTCATTGAAAGTACAGTGCTGTTGCTATTGAACAGTCAACAAACGAATACTTCCACTTTCGTCTATCAATTGGCTCTACCAGATGTGCGCAACCCATCTCAGACATCAGCAACCAAGACTGATGGTTCCAGGGACTCTCTTCTCTCCGAGTGATTGGTACAGTAGCACTGATTGCCGTGCAACAACACTGTACATGCAGACTGTCAAACATTTTTTTAATTTCACAGTTCCCCGAAAGTGTGACTTGACAAACAGCAGTGCTTTTTACAGAACCCATCCTCGCCCAACTACTGAATCTACGTTATTCCGCGCTAAACTGATTGGTTCCGTTTACACTCGTTGCATATACAACTTTCGGGTTGATGGCCGCCGCATGTCCACCTGATACTTTTTTTTAGCTTGATTAATGTCTGGACCACTCTGATGACGTCAAAAACACCCGTTACATGCTATCGTTGATCGCACTCTGATATGCTGTGGACTGCATTGATCAACAGAACAAACATACAGGTGGGTCACAGCCATGCAGCAAAACTGAGGATGAGGTACGAACCGAGGATACACGCCTACCCAGGTAGCAACTTGCTGTATGCGACTGTGGTTTGCTGGTCAAAGCAAACGGTTGGGCTTAGCACATTATCGCTTAACCCTTTACTTGATTCTTACTTATAAGACAAGATCTGTAGGTTTACTGCGGAAGCGCGTCGCTGTCAGCTGTCCAGCTTCCTGCTTTGCATTTTGGAATATCGCCCCGATCGGTGAGCGTCACACAGAAGTTCGAATCGGAAAAGTCGCTTAAGCTACATTAGATAGACAGGTCGACATCCCTCGTCGCAAGGCATTGTGAACTATATGCCCAAGTCTGGTACGCATACCAAAACCATTACGAATGCAATCATATAGCTAGGTGAACTAATCCACTAAGCCCAATGGTGTTAATGATGGGCCAAGTACGAACAACACTCTGAATTTCCGAAGCGCACGCAAGAAAAAAAACGACTGCATGGAAGCACGTGTAGGCGGTGAATTACATTCTCTGCAGAACCACTTGCTGCATGAAGTTGTTGGAAAATAATGGTAGTGGTTTTACTCAATAGATCAAGGAGTAAAATGGAAATAGGATAATTGATAATAATGATGAAGGCAATAAAAACCTAATAAGCGACTGGGGTGAGTAAGTCCGGGAAATATCAACAAGAAAAGTGCAACAACCAAATGCGGTCAAGTGAATCGATGACATCCATCTAGCCAGAAATGTCGGGGGTAAGTGGTTAACGGTTGCCTAGGCAACTAATGGGTAGGCCATTTGGTGAAGGCGACTCCGACGGAACCGTGACCTGCCAACTATTCGCTAATTTGGTTTCCGTGAACGTTAAGGGTGGTCGCGGGCAGGACACTTGTGGTTAGTCTAGAAGCGAAGATGAGCTGGCCGTTGCTTCGATAATGAGAAGGAGGAAAAACAGGCACAGAACTGAGATAACTTGGAGTATTAAAATCAAGATAAAAAGGAAATTAAATTGATCATCAGTGAACTATCGTCGTCTTTCACTCTTCAGCGACCGGTGGTGCGGCGAAAAATCGAGCCATCGTCCTTGATAAATTTATCATTTTAGAGAGCAATGCTACCCAAAAATGTTCAGTTACTCTTAGGAGCGTGACAAGACTCCTATACATAGGGATGAGAACAAGATGAGACACTTCTCTGACTCAAATCAATGGAGGTTAGCATAAGAGCGGCTTTAACGGAATTTATGAGAAGTTGAGAGCTCATACGCTCACTGTCCAGCGGAGCCGCACAGCTTGTAAATAAGTATCGACGACTACCCCCGGAATGGCCATTGATGCACCATCAGCTGCTGAGGACAATATTTCAGATCTGGATCAGCTTATCGTGACACGAGTGTACGCGTGTACGCTGCTGATACGAGCACACCAGCAGCCCATATCAGACAGACAGTAACTAACTTCAAAACGGTCTTCAAGGTGCCAGCTTAACCGGTCCACCCGAAAACCTGATTCACCCAATATAGCAAAACATCGGCGCTTCTTACCATCTGGGTGAAGTCATGGCTGCCGACGGAACTCACATCGAAGGTCTTCAGATGTATAAAAAGACGGAGAGAAACCTATAGGAAGTAAAATAACATGCCATCCCCATACGTCAGATATTAAATACCATTTGGTCTTTAAACGGATGCACATATGTGCTCTTACATAAAATAGGTGGGACCCGTAGTGGAAGCTAGGATCTAATGGGGCGGGGGCAGATCCACAGCGGTTATCGGTGTCACAGTTCACATTTTCACATGCGTTTGAATGAGCACGCGGGTGGAAGGATCATTTTGGAGCGTACGCGTGAGTGAATTGTAGCACGCGGGTGCATTGCTGAAACCAATTATCGGTATCAATGGAGTGAACATGATACGATAAAACAGGTGCAGGTGAATTGCATCGGAGCATCTCACAAAGACAAAGTGGGGATGCAACTGAACTAACGGAGAAAATGACGCCGAAATCCCGCCATAGAGGCCACTGCAAAAAGTTGGCAGAACTAAGTTCAGTCCCGTCGCATCTATCTACTATGATCCGTGTACCGATGTGAGGTGGATCCAGTCGCTCTGGTACATGCTAGCAACATAATAATAATAATAATGATAATAATGATAATAATAATAATAATAATAATAATAATAATAATAGCAATGCTGCGAGAGGAAGGGGCAGGAAATGGAATCACCACTTGTAGTGGGGAGTAGACAGGATTAAGGGAATGAATGAAACAGTGAAACCAACTCATTGATCACGCCATATCCGTCGAAGTATCTAGCCGCTGATGCGACTGATTTGGAGGACCCAGCCTTTCGCGGACTTTCCTTATGGTCGTCTGTTGTGCCATTGATTGACTACCTCAATGTTTGACCCGACGACGTGCAATACTGGAAGGCAACGCACACAAAGGTAGTTGGCTCGTTGATATGCGGAGCACATGGTAGGCATCCGCAGTACGTCGATACGCCGCACCGACGCTTCGCTGAAACGCAACCATCCCCGGTCGAGCGTGGGCAAAAGATACTGTAAAGGTCGCCCGGTACCCTACGCAGACTCGAACCGGTGACTTGCGGATCACAAGGCAAGCTTGTGATCCTTTCGGCTACCAGATCACTTGACTGGGCAGACGAAATCGATTCAACTTGAATGAGCACTCCAACGAGGGCCTATTGTTAAACAACAACGGAGGTTACTCATCCGATCCTCCAACCACACACACAATTAACACGGAGAAGGCATCAATGGTCACCTAACATCTTCAGCGCGCAGTCACCAAGCTTCTGAATTGCATAATAACACTAGTCGCACCGCAGCGCTACTAACCCTTTCCCCAACCAGTAACATAATATCCTGTCGGGACACTCGTGTGCCCCCTGAGTACACTGACCATCAGTAAGCTCCATTTTGCCGAGGAGAGTAACGAGTAGTCGTTAAGCGTGTTTATTGGTGTGTGACTTAAAACTCTGAAGCACAATAAACACGCACGCCGTTAACGAAGAATGCGCGTTCCATTCCTTTCCAGGCGGCCCGGAGTACAAAAGACGTGTCTATGGGGCAAGGAATCCCTCCTGTATGCCAGCACATGAGGCCGCCGGAAACTGGATGAGGGGAAAAACTGCAGGGTGGTAACAGTGAGGGTACGAAAGGCGTGTCAGCCCCAGATAAGACGAAGGCTCATGCTACAATCGAAAGAAGCACGCGTCTCGGTGCATTCAGTGGACAGGATCGTGCGTTTACGCCTTCATCACAGCAGGGCGCAAGTTAGCACCAAGAAGTGCACTGTAGCCAGGTAATTAACAGTAAAACGAGCCAGTGGTCCGTGACTATTAACAAATCGGTGGGCTCATAACAAACAATAGCTTGCATTTCCCGTTGGAACACAAGTTGGAAAGTAAAAGAGCTTTGGTTCGGAATATAAATGAAAGGGAAGAAGGCATATGCAGTACGCCATAGCGGCGTTTCGTTGCTACGTGACTGCCACCAGTTGCGCGTGGGCTGAGGATACTGCGATGCCGCGCGCACCCACGCAGATCGAAGCGGCGACCAATCGGCCAGGGGTCGGTAGAACATAACAAATTATCCAAAGGTGAAATCGACCAATAAGGAAACAGTGGGCAAATTCGTTACACAACGGTTGAATGCACAGAACGTGCCTGCGGCTTTGGAGACCGAAAATGTTAAGCGCAGCATGCAAAAGGTGGATTTTAAGTAGAGTAAAATGCACATGTTACAATCGTGGTACTTACTTGGAGCCCATCCCCGTCGCACCGGACAAGTTTCACCGGGGTTTTGTCAATGGACGAAATAACGTCGCTAGGACAAACGGTGCAGTTACGTTTGGAAGGATAGCAGCCACGGGTGCGTGCGCAGAACACGATGAGCAAGAAGCATACGAGAAAGGCGAAGAGGAAGAGCACGATGCCGGCTGTGATAAATACGGGTATCGTCGCACGCGGAGCAAGTGCTCTATTACGGAGCATGGCCAGAGAAGCCGCATCCGCCACTGCAGTCTGGAAGCAGCACAGAGAGGGGGAGGGAAAGCACACTAGGACGTATTATTGACTTCAAAGCGGTTGATCATCTAACTTGGAGAGCGGAAGAGCAGGTGGGCGTCATCCGAACAAAAGCACAAGTGAAATAAACCGACTTCAGAAGAATTGGGGTTTTCCTCCCAAAAACACAATATAGGGATAGGTAGGCTGCAGCCAAGCAACAAACAAACCGTATAAATTCATCAACAATGCTATGTAAGAAGGACCAAGACAAGGTTGACAGTGTCTCGTCGATTACAGACTCATGCATCTACACTAAGCTGTATAGCTTTAAATGTTTGTGCGTCGACTTAACACTACCAATCAATGCGCTCATTTTCTTTTTTTGCATACCATTTCTCAAACGTTACTACCGTGGAATATCA